GGAGGAAATCTGGGAGAGCTGACAGACCACAATGTAAGTCTGAATGTAAGTAAAGGAGAGCAGGAGAGAAATGGCAGCTCCTGCAATGCCATGTAGTCTAAGGAAGGTTCCACAAGGCCATGAAGGAGTCCTAGAGCAAAAATTAGCCAGCAAGAGAGTCCTTTGTCTCCCATGAGTGCCTTTATATCCCCTGCACACACAGCACCAGCTGGGAGCAGCCCACAGGCAGCCTGGCCTTGGACTGAGGGCAGTGATGGAGTTCGGAGCACAGCAGCTGGGGTCTATGGTAGGTTACACTCCCTGGAGTAGGAGGTCTGCAAAGCACGTGCTTATGGCCACCATACCCTGCTAGTTGGTGGTAAAACTGAGGACTCAGTCCCATGTCAGTCTGACTCCCATGTGTTCTCTTTCTGTTGTATCTCACAACTTCCACCCTATCACAGGCCGTATTAATCTTGTATATACAGAAAAAGTTCTACAGTCTCCACCCCTTTAAAAAAAAGTTTCCTCTCCAACCTCACCATATATTTATTATTTCCCTCCAACCATATCCTTGAGTCAAAAAGCACATCATATCCATAAATGTATTCACAAAGGACTCCATTTTCCAAGCATACAACTAAGGAAGAGGCAATACAGGGATGTGGGACTGCTTTTTCAAACAATTGCTTACAGGCATTAGGCTGAAAAAGGTAAAGCACTCAAGCAATTCCCCATAGCCTTAAGCAGCAGTTTATATCCTGGCATAGTTCATTTTCACCTACAAAAAGTACTCAGTCCATTTATGCATTCATTAATTCACTCTCTTATTTGTTCATTTATCCACTCGTTCATCATTCATTTACCAAACCTTTGTTGTATGCTTGTTATGCATCAGTTGGTGGGAAAAGGGCACACTTTGAACTACTCTTACACTCACAACCTGGAATTCACCATCTAAGTGACACATCAATTTCAACAACAAGTGATATAATGATACTAGAGCCATAAGAGGATGATACACAATCAGAGAATCCTGAAAAGGTTAATCCATTCTGCCTGGGGACATTAGGAGACTTTGTTCTTAAGAAAGAATTATATTTGGATTGTTTTTGTCCTGAGGGGATTGTGTGACACTTTCACAAACTGCTACCTTTTGACATTAGGTGAGCGAGGTGCTGGGAACTGTAGAGTGCGTTGATATCTGTGGGGTGTAAGCTCTTATCCCTCACTTCCTGTGATCACCGTGCTCTTTCTCTCCCATCATCTTCAAGTTTCAGAATAACTCACCAGACTGCTTTGTAACATCTTTCCTGGTGACAATTACAAGCCATTGGGTCAGTGTGTTGCAGTTTTAAGCTACTCACTTAATGGCTTATAATGGCTTCTTTCCACTTAGTCATGTCCTCTAGCTGACTTTTGTTATAATGCAAGGGGCTATGGGGGTTTGTTAGTGGGTACATTGGCTCTAAGGTGTTTGAGCAGTTTCCCTTCATTCAAATGAGTGCTTGCTTGCTCACAGAACTGAAAGAGCCCCATGAAGCACTTACCGTGGTTCTCGATGGCCGTTCCCACCCTCGGCTGTGCTGATTGTCCAGGGACCTCAATTGCTCATTGCTGAGACCCCGATATCATGGAGCTGGAGACCCCAGGTCCTCCATAATATGGTGGTATCTTTCCCAGACTCAGTCACTCATAGGGGAGCGGACCCTGTTCAGACCAAAACAGAGGCCACTGCTCCAGTGGACTGGGGGATGTATGGTCTCAAGTGGAGAGAGGGCAAAGTTGTAGAGTTGAGGAGCAAGATGGTACCATGAAGATCATCTCACACAACCTCTTCAGGAAACAGAGGCTCAGGAAGGCCGGATTATTTACACAAAGACACTGCTGCTCATTTATGTATTGCTGCATCACAAACCACCTCAAAACCGGGCAACTTATACTAACAACTACTTTATTATATGTCATAATTTTGAGGTTAGAAATTCAGGCAGGTTTCAACTGGACAAGTCTTCAGTTATACTCAGCTGGTGGAAGAGCTTTACTCACATGCCTGGCACATGGGATGGCTGGAAGGCTTGGCTCCACCAGCTCGGTCAGCTAGACTGCCTTCATGGTGGTCTTAGGTTTGTCACACTTTCTGCCTTGTGGCTGGCTTTTCCCAAAGAGAACATCCCAAGAGAAGCAAAGAAAAGCTGTGTGGCCTTTTCTGACCTAGGCTTCAAAGTCATGCAAGTGAGTCATAAGGCAGCCCAGAGTCGAGGGGAGGAGAGCGACTCCATGCCTTGATGGGGGAGTCATAATGTAGAAAAGCGTGTGGACAGTGGACATTGTGGTAGAAAATCAACCTACCACAGTATTTTTGTGATAGAATCAGAATAGATATGAGAGATATGAGAATACAGAGATATGAGATATGAGAATACAACAGATATGAGAATCTGGCTGCTTTCAATTATTTCATGTCACAGCTGGTAAAAGCGTTCCCAGAGGTTCCCAAGGAGGACCTCCTTCTAGCCTTTAGCACTAAATGAGGGTGTAGCTACCTGCATGTTAACAGTTAATATTATATTAATTGAGAAAATAGACCATGACTAAAAGCCACTGAAATAAATCTCTTAATTTAAAACATTTTGCCAATTAGTATCATGAGAGCAACTAATTTCTGTATACATTTGAAAATTGCAGTATGAATATGTGGGGAAAATACACTATATCCAATTCAGACAATAGTTATGGAGATCTGGAACCCCACTCCCCTTGCAGTAACTCTGGTAACCTCCAGGTATCCACATACCTCTGGTAGAAAGCTCTGCCTAATACAATTGCCCTCTTTTACATATGAGAACATCGAGGTTCAGAGATGTGAAATGACTTACCAAAGGCCATACACACACACACACACACACACACACACACACACTCACAGATAATCAGTAACAGAGAGGGACTCAATCAGGTTGCCTAACTACAATCTAAATTTTCTTCAGGGAAGAGGGTTAATGAATACAAGTTGGACTGGTCTTGGGCTGTGGAGAACTTGGTTATGTTCCCGTGTATTTTGGGGAAGTGGGGAGCCAGAGAAGAGGAAGGTGAGGGTACATATGCTACAAGTCAGCAGTCCTCAAGGTGTGGTCCCAGGTCCCAAGACCCTTTCAGAAGAATGCATGAGGTCAAAACCATTTTCATAGTAATACTAGGACATTATTTTCTTTCTTCATTCTCATTCTGTCACATGTGTACAGTGGTTTTCCAGAAGCTACATGATGCCTAGTATCACAACAGATTGAATGCAACAGCAGATATGAGAATCCAGCTGCTTTCTATTGATTCAGTCATTAAATTGATTTACAAAGATGTAAAATGATATCATTCTCCTGACAATTTTATACATTTTGAAAATATAATTATTTTCCATTAAAATGTTATTTTTTATTATGTCATAGGTTTATCTTTACTACTTTTAAAATGAAATAGCAAATGAATATTTTTTAAATTTCTCAGTTTTAATTTAAAATATGGTAAAATATTGACAGATATAATCCACATAAATAAAAGCTCCTTGGTGTCTTCAGTAATTTTTAAGTGTAAAAGGGTCCTGAGACCAAAAAGTTTGAGAACTGCTATTGTGGAGTATAATAGTACTTTTGAAAACCACAATGACAGTTAATGTCCCTTTTTTGTCATTTTCTGTCATTTTAAACTCCTCTTACCAATGCTGTCCAGGAAACCAGCAGCTATCTATTCAGGATGGAAACCCAGAGTCTTTTAAATCTGAGAAGTAGGCTTTATGAGAGCCACATATAAAATAGACGAGGCTTGCAAGAAATAACTTATTTGTCTACTGTTAAGGAAATTCACTTTGTGGAGAGATAGGCTTTTTAACTCCTAAATCACATTTATTACATTAGCAATAGTTGGTGATTAATCTAACAAGTAGAGATATGAATGTAATCCCTTTGGAACATTCAAGCTGACAAAGTGTTCTTTCTCCTCCCTTTCCTGAGAAAGTATTCACGACGGTGTGTTGGAACTGATTCTCACGTGGTGCTCTTCATATATGTAATCATGATCATTGTAAGCTGTATTTTTAAATATTGCCATGATGCTAGTTCGATGGGGTGCTGTATAAGCAGTTGAATCTGTCTCTGAAGGAGAGGTTGAGAAACATTTCCTATAAAGGTCAGATGGTGAATAGTTTAGACTTGCAGGTTGTATGGTCTGTGTCCCAACTATGCATCTTTGCCTTTGCAGCATGAAAACAGCCATAGACAATATGTAAATGAATGAGCATGGCAATGTTCTAATAAAACTTTATTCACAAAAACAGGCAGTATGGTACTTCCCTGCTGGCACAGTGGTTAAGAATCTGCCTGCTAATGCAGGGGACACGGGTTCAAGTCCTGGTCCAGGAAGATCCCA